ATCTAAGTCCCTTGAGAAAGAGAGAGAAGAAATAAGGTAAAAACTAAGAACTGAGCTCCAAAAACTCACCTAAACCTCAATGAGATAACAACTCTCACTTTGATCGGAAAGAAATTCGGCTTTAAGGAAGTTTTCTCTAAGAGTAATAAGGGAGAGAACAGAGAGAAATTGAGAGAGAAAAGTTGTCTGGTGAGAAAATGAAGTTTCTGGGTGCTGAGATCCTTTAAATATCCTTACAGCACATGCGCTCTCGCTTAAGCGAGCAACTTCTCTCCAGAGCGAGCTCTACTCTCGCTTGGGCGAGCCAACCCTCACCTAGGCGAGAAAACCAGACAGTGAAACCTTTCCAATTTCTGATATTCTCGCTTGAGCGAACAGCATGTCGCTTGAGCGAACTACATCTCGCCTGGGTGAACAACATTCTTGCTTGGGCGAGATTGCATCCAGAGAGCTACCCATTACTCCTGCAACATCTTGCTTGAGTAAGATCACCTTTCGCCTGAGCGAAACTCCTTCTTGCTTGGGTGAGGGGACAGCTGGGCTGATCCTATCTGCTCTCGCTTGAGCGAGATACCTTGCATTCAGAAGGTCAATAATTAAATTAATGGACAAAAAATATTATAAACCATTTAGAGTATTTTAAATTCTTAAGAGTTTTACTCTTTTTATAAGATATTGTTTTTTTTTCATATAATTAATCATATATGTTAGTTAATATAATATTTAAATATTTTGTAATAGTTTCCTAACAATGAATCATTTATAAGATTAAATTGATAGACGAAGGCAATCTCATGAACAATTAACAAATTAACAGCGAAATTTAAAAGTATACTCAATTAATTATTAAATCAAAATATAAAAAATATTTATGATATTTTTGTATCTTAATTAAATTCTTATAAAATAGATTAGCAAAAAAATTTCTTATATAATATTGTATCGTTGTGTTTATTTATAACTTCATTATAATTAATATATAATTAAGTGTTTTGGATATATTGCCTTAGATGGAAATTATATTTATTTGAACAATACATTTGTCTTAAAAGAAATTGACAACTAATCACAAATATTTTCTTTTTTTTTTTTTAGAAAATCACAAACATTTTTAGTATATTAAAAAAATACATTTATATATATATGAGAAAGATCTTCTTACACCAGTATAAGTCTAAAAACTCTTACACCCAATCTGAGTCTTTCATTTAACTTAAATCTAACGGCCAATGAAATAATAAATTGTAACCCGTTAAATTTAAGTTAAATGAAAAGCTCAGATTAGGTGTAAGAGTTTTTAAACGTACACCGATGTAAGAAGATCTTGCCCCATATATATATATATATATATATATATTATTTTTTGGTAACTTTATTTTTAAAAATTGAGTTTAAATATTATAAATGAAAATTTTTTTATATAAAAAAATATGTATATATTTAATATATTGAAGTCATAAAAGTATAATAAATACTTTTTATTAAAATTTTAATAATATTATTAATTATTTATCTTTAATTATTGAGTTTAACACAATTCCTGTAAATACTATGTTAGCATAAGTGGAGGAGTCATTAGTTAGACTAGATCGATAAACTTAAAAAATAAAACTAAATTAATTAAGTTAATTTGATTTATTTTTAATTTATATATTCAGGTTTAAACGGGATCAAATAATTGAAACTCAAACTTCTTTGATTCAATTAATTTATTGGAGCTCCATGACTTGTTGCTTGAATTAATAATTCCAAATTCTCTTTCAATTTTAAGTACACAATGCAATTTTGTTTGCTATCTAAACCAATTAATCCAAACTCCCTCTGTAGTTGTTAATTAGTTTAACATCTATGTGCATGTGTGAAATCATATGCAACCTTTTATTACACACATATTATTAAATTAAAATAAATTTTTTAATAATTAAAAGTATATTTTACGTGATCATTCATTTAATAAAAGTTATAAAATTTTTAAAAATAAATATTCTAATTATTAGTAATAAATATTATATTAAATAAAATTACATTTTTAATTTAAAAATATGATAAAAATCACAATTTAAATTAAAATTGATATTTTTAAAAAAATAAGTTTCATTAATTCAACCGTTTATTATTATAATATTATCATAAATATCATATTTTAAATTTTGTAGATATTTAATCCAATAAAAAATATTTAATTATATTTAAATAGTATATTACATGGTAACATATAATCAGGTCAAGTATCAATTAAATTAACATTTACAATTTGTGAAATTTGTGGAGTTAATTTATTTTCCAATAATATTAAGTTGAATCATTGGGCTGTTAAAATTTCCTTCTAAAGAAAAGTAATAAAAATGTGGATATACATCAAATATCACAAGATCCGGAATATATATAACACTCAAATTTGAAACTTTAAAGAACTCATTATTGCATTTGGTTTTGCTAAACTTACGATGGAATTAAAATGGTTACACTTGAAATAAAATGAAACATATGTTTGTGCAAAATACATCAATTAGCAAAACATGGTTTATTTCATGGAAAGCACTATATAGCACAATGATCCATTTAGCTACTCTAATTGTTCCTTGTTGCATTCTTCACGGCATCAGCAGCTCCTTGTGCTTTAGCCTTCATTTGCTGCCCGGCCTATACATAACAAAAATTTAAACTTTACATTTGGTGGTTCTGATTTATTAAAGATTATAAAGATAGTCAAATGATTCTAAAAGGAAATAACAAAAAGTTATTCTTTTGATTTTAAAGTAATAATTTTTTTTAATATATGCAACATTGCAAGGATAAAAAGCTATATATAGTAAAAATTTATCAAAAAATTATACATAATTCAATATCATTGATAGTATTAAATATTATATTTTTTATAAAAACTTATTTTATATAACATTTTATCATAAACATTATTGCATATGATAGAAAAATTCGTAAGTAATCTAGAAATAGAAATATTTATTTACAATATAACAACATCAATCAAGTTTTATCTTATTAATAAAGTTGATTATATAGATTACAAAATACAATTAAATTCAGTTAAAAAATAATTATTTATAATATTATCAATTTTTATGTTTAAACAATGTAATTGTAAAATTAAATTGTGGGTCATATTTTTTTTAGTTGATAAAATTAAATTTTCATAGAATAAATTTTGACCCATTTTAAACATATTTGGAATATGTTAAAAATAATTTTAATCAAATCTCGATATTATAACCTGTAATTTGATAAAAAGTATAAGAATTGATTTTTTATCTATAAGCCAAACAGACACAGAACATGCATGTTTTCCTTGTGTCTTGATTACTAGTCACATTATTAATTGATTAGGAAAAATGTTAAAAAATAAAAGCACAAACCTCTTGCATGGAGTCTTGTGCAGATTGAGCAGCATTGCTAGCCTTGTCCATCAAGTTGCTAGCCTTTTCCTGCATTGGCACAAAAACTTGATTGAGTTATCAAAATTGAGCAAATGAAGAGACCATAGCAAAGAGGAAGTTATGTCAAAGACCTGAGCTTGGCCCTTGGCTTGTCCTGCTTGGTAGCTCATGTTTTGGGAGTCCATCTTTATTGTTCTGTTGAACTGTTGTAATCAAAGCAAATGTTGTGAAAATCAGGTGTTGCTTTAGTTTTTCTGATTCATATTTCTCACTTTTTGTTGCAACTTATATAGTTTCTTAATACACTACAACATTCAACACGTGTTTGTTCTCATGTTCTTCTCACAGTTTGCTCCTTCACATGCGTTTTTAAGGGCACATGTCATGCCATTCTTGGAAAGTGGCTTGGCTCTGTGGAGGAGATTCATTCATCATTCCAATCTCCTAACTTGGCTTGGACGAGTTTATATTTTCCAATTATAGGGAAAATTTAATTCCAATTTATGGCTGAAATCTTGGGTAGAAAACTGTGTACACACATAACACAGTGTTATACGTAGCATTAATTAATCTGTCCAAGGTGTATCAAATAAGCATGCTACTCTAATAGTAAAGAAACAGTAGTAGTAAATTAGTAATTTATTGGTATAAGTGGGGAGTTCATTAATTTGGACCATCTCTATAAACCCAAAAAATAAAATTAAACTAATTATGCTAATTCAATTTGGGAGTGGATTGTATCAAAATCAGGTGGCCGAAATTGTTTATGACTAAATGGAAAAGATCTGTCTTCTCTTTTTCATATTGGTGTGTTAATCCTCTGGATTGTATTTCTCAGTTTGGTTAATTCAGTTTGGTTTATATACTCATATTTAAATGAAATCAAACTAATGAAACTAGATCATTTCTGGGTTAGCATCTGTTTCGTAATTTGAAACTCAATAATTTGTTATATGAACTAATCAGCCCTAACCCTTTCTCAGATTTTTTTTATGTGCACAATACAACATTGTTTTCAAACCAATGATTATGCAAACTAATTAATTAACTCAATTTTTTTTTATCTCACTTTTTTGGCCTACATGTAAACACAACGTCATTCTGGTTTTAAAGGGATGATTATCTGCATCAATTAACTTAACTCTAATTTTTAATTAATTAATACATATATGTGTGTATGAAATCTGATGAACTAAAATATTTCATTTTAACTAGTTCATATTCTCCCTTAAAAGTTAAAATTGAATTAAACTGTCTTATTAAAATTCATTTTAACTGGTTCATATAAGCATTTGATGAATTATATCAGAATTTTGAGGTGTGAAATAAGTTACCACATAAACTGTAACCTGAAAATAATGAAGAACTCTCCTTCATAGTTCTCCTGGTCAACCGATCTTGATCCCTCTCTGTCTATCCTCAAAAATAGCAAATGTTAGGATGCCACGTGGCACACTGAAATTTGAACAGCTATAGCTTGAAGTGCAATTCATTGGGAAACTTGCCTATAAATCTGAACATGGTGCAGGGACATTAATCTTCATCTCAAAATAAAATAATTATTGACCTTCAATTCACTCTAAGATCATTGCATATTCAAAGAAGATGGACTCCAACAAGGCGAGCTTCAATGCTGGACAGGCCAAGGGCCAAACTGAGGTTAATTTAATTTCCCTACTCTTATTTCATACAGTTATATCTGAGAATGTGCTTAGTTTATATAAATAACTTATTTTATATGATTTTTAATGTGTGATACAGGAAAAGGCAAGCAACATGATAGACAAGGCCAGCAATGCTGCTCAATCTGCCAAGGAATCCATGCAAGAGGTTCCAATTTTAATTAATTTTTCTAAATTTGTGGTTTGAAATAGATTAATAATGTGGAAAATGGATATGAATACCATAAGTTTTTATGGCCTAAACTTAAATAACATTGTTTAATTATACAATGGAGTAATTTTGGATTTCAATAATTGTGTGCAGGTTGGTCAACAGATGATGGCAAAGGCTCAAGGAGCTTGTGATGCAGTGAAGGATGCAACTGGAATGAATAAATGAAGTTGGTTGGATAATGAACTTTCAACTTTCAATAATTCTTGTTTTGTTTTCCTGTTTGCTGGGGCATTATATATGTTGAAAGATGTTCTCCCTGTTGTTTTTTAGGGACTTTTTTTTGTGTGTGGGATGCTCCCTCTTTTAGTCTTTTGTTTCACAAGGAGGACTTTGTGATGTAATTCTCATTTGATTCTTTAATTAGATCTTGAATATTTTGCTTTATACATCTTGATCTTGAATGAATTCTTTTTGGTAAGCAAGAATGGCTAAGTCCTATCTTGAATGAAAATTTTAATTTAGTTTAGAATAATTGGAGGTTTGTGAGTGGTTCAGAAAATTGTTATTTTGACAATGATTGAGAATATTCCATATTTACCCTAAAGTAAGATATTAGACATAATGAGATATTTATAAACTATTATTAAAATGATGCTTTATCAATTAAACAATTTTTTGAGTGTGTTTGGACAAGGTTTTTAAGAGATGTGTGTATTTTTAGAGAGGAATTAAAATTCTTTGATATAAAATATGTTGTTTGGTTACTTGAGAAATATTTTTTTTACAATTTTTAAGTATTGGGGGGGGGGGGGGGGGAATTTTGTTTACACAATGCATATAGCTAGCTTTCCTTACCTTCATCTCTCAACAAAAACAATCTTTTCCTAGAAAATTGGTGAGAAATTTTTCCAGAGAAAGTAGAATTCAAAGAGAGAGATCTATCTTTCATAGACACTCCAACAATTAGATACACTCTTCATTAACAGCTAACCAAGATAACCTTTCTCATTTCTCGTTTTATTCAACATGAATATGTTGAATTTACTTGTTTGATTCATTGGACAATTATTGAAGCTGCCATTGACAAAGTACAAGAATCCATTTGAACTCTTTGAACCCAACTACATAAGAACTCATGTTTCACTTCTCCTCCCCATCTCTTAAACAGAAAATGCAAGGGACCTAACAATTATAACGAGCTGAAAATCCATGACAAAATGTACATCATCTGTAGTAATTTTCTTAAGGCTCAAAAGCTGTTCAAAAAAGTGTCTCAAAGAAACTTCTTATGTTCATGATTATGAAAATGTTTATGTTGTTGAAGTCATCAAGAGCGAGGATTGGACTAACAAGAACTCAGCTCAAGATGCAATGCGATTATAGAAATGAAAATGTTTTATGCCTCTTCAATATAATGTCCAAACATGTAATTTTATAAAGAAAGGAATTGAATTAATGTAATTTAGTTTCTTTGCATTTTGAATATAAAATTGAACTTCCGAAATCATGCATATTTTATGTTTTATTTATATTTGTTATTGCAAAGAAAATAATTTTTTATCAATTAAATAAAATTCTATGAATTTTTTTTAAAATACATATTTTATATTCTACTTTGAGTTTATAGATCGGATAGTTGCTAGGCTTTACTTAAAATTTAAGATTGAACAAACTACTAAATAGTAAATAAAACAGTTGTTAATCTCCCAGAAAAGACCACTAACTCAAGAAGCCTCATAAATCTAAGCCCAATCACCTAAACTTTTCTGGGCCAATCCTTGCCCTTTTTTTTTTTGTTTTTTTCAACGCTCTTTCTTTCATATGTAAACGAAAGAAAAAAAGAAAGAGGTTTCCTTTACGTGGCAGCCTCTATTTTGGGATCGAAATCCATGTTTCACGTGTTGAAACAATTATGTATTCTTATATTTATTTTTATTTTTTTTATCACATCATTAGTTATATTCTTAACTTTTTTAAATTTCTCTTATCTTTCGCTTTTTCCCACTTACTTTACACTGAAAAAATAAGTTTAAACACAATTTTCCAACAACTAATTTGCTGTTTATAACATATACATGTACTGATACATTAAAAAAATTGCCACTCACAGAGCTCTTATAAACTTGATGTAACTCATGTAAGTTTTGGAATGCCACTGTGATTCAATTGCTCCTTCTTATAAATGATCCACCTTAATTAACAAATATGTCGGACTAACCTTTTTTTCATCTTTTTCCTCGCTACTTATTGCAAATTTTTGCATCAAATTACTGATATAGGTAATGGATTTATGTTAGTTTGTTATTCTCCTAACATGTTCACAACTTGAGGAACATGGGTTGAAGAGGGGGGGGAGGACCAGAACATGCTTGTGTTGATACACGAGTGAATTCAAGTGGCTATGTAAAGCACTGCAGAGAGGTTCTCTATGGAGGGAATGAATTTTTAAAATGTGCTTTTGCAAGAAGCATGCGTGTGATCTTTGTCTTTTGAATCCTATTTGGCTCAATATTTTTCTACTTCATTCATAACAAAATCTCAATGGTTGCTCTCTCTGCTGAATCTTATCCTTTGTGCTTCTTTCTGCAGACCAAGAGACCTTATAATTGATTAAAGCATAGATGGCAAAGCAATTGATATGTTCTTTTGTACCCTCCAAAGTAGAAAATCTAGTGACATTTTTCAACTTCGAAAAGAACATTTCTAATTCTGACAACCTCAATTAATAATACTTCTGAAGATACATAATATCATACATCAACATTATCCGATTGATTGTGTTCTGATATACATATTTTGAAAATGATACATCAACTGGCATACCCTTTTCTCTCTCCTCAGTGTGTTTTAATTGAACATATATAACAAAATTTTAAGGGTAACCATTATGGTGGCCAAACAGATTGAATGAGACTTGTCAGTGAACAAAAAGTGTTGAGCTTTGACCAAAGAGCCATATGCTCCCTTATTCACATTATTACAATTATTTTTTTAAAATTTTTAAATTATTGTCATTTCTCAACAGTATTTGCTGTTATATCAAGTATTGTCCTTGAATTTTCCAAGTGGAAGTGTAATTGGAGCTTTCTGCAGTGCCTTCATATTAATGAGGCAGCTTACAGAACTGCGGCAAAGAAACAAAGGACAAGTTACATAATATGACAAAATCACCATCATCTCGTGATGATTAGTAGCTATAGGAAGCATACCCTATCTTCATTTCTCATTAATAAACAGAGAAGAAAGAAATGTTAATTTGTATTAAATTGAAGTGAGAGAATGATGTTATGATATGGTTTAGGTTTGATTTTAGCTCGAAGGCAAACTGATCAGTGATCCTTTTTGTGATTAGTATTTGACAATTGACATGAAAAGTGATGGTTTATGTGATTTCATACTAACTATAAAATTCTCTATCAGAATATTACTTATCAACAATAATAATGGAAAAGAAATTTGGGTGATGCCAAACTTTATCTAGTTCAGCTAGTCGTGTCTTCTTGCCGTTGTATAATAATCTGAAATTAAATTCGGCATCTTTTATACTTGTAATCATGCTGCTATATATACCTAAATAACCACCTTTAAATGTACAAAAAAAAACAACCTATAATATTTCTCTTGTAGTGTGATTGGAATTTAAATCATGGTTTCAATCATAGCGCTCTTTTTTTAATACATGTTCATATGCATTTGCGGCAATGTAGGAAGGCCTAGTACTGTACATTAACATCACATGAATACACTTAGTCCACTATCTGGACAGGACCTAAAGTCAACTCCACACCCAATAAGCAATTAATGTCCGCATATTCAGCACTCCATGCGTGCTCACCATAGGAGATTATTATGGTCACAAGATACCTAGAATTTCTAGACCTTATTGGACTTTGGTTTCTGTTCTCACTAGAGAACGACCAGAACAATATGATAATATAAACTTTGTTGCTTGAATCCAAAGTTTTGCTTTGTAGAGGGAAAGCAGGTAAATGCTCCAAGAACAACGGCTTCTAGCAGCAGAACTTATTCACACCGCAATATTACAATATAATGAGAGAATATGCGTGTATGACATAATTACATGGCGACAATGGCATGGTCTTTTATAAAATGACATACCATAATGTCCTCTTATCTACAAACAAGTGTTGAATGGAGGAAAAAGGTGAATTTGGTTAAGGGGAAGAAAATCATTGTTTCCTCTAGCGGTAGGTGAGCCCATGTCACTCTTTGGACCAAATTGAATCATTGTGTGGGAAGTGCACAACCAGCACAGGTATAAAGTGAACCGATCAGTCTTTGGAATCTTTCAAAAGATGTTAAAAAATCGTTCTCACAAAGTAAGAAGAAAATGGGACAGTTACAAGAAGGAGGAAAAAGCAAAAGAAGATAATGGGGACAAGATGTTCCCTCAATCAACCTTTTTCCTAATCCATGTCTGCTCCATCACTGTCTTTCATCTTGTGGACACATGAATTACTTTCACTTTCTGTTCAAGACCCCTTTGTCACATTCTCCCTCTGCACTTGAAAAAAAACACACACACATAGGCTTAAATAAATAACCAGAGCATGATCAATCTTTCACTCTTACCTCAACACTTGCTTCTTCAGCTTGATTAGGAATCACATATGTTAAAATAACCAAATTTAAATAACCATTCACACAAAATAAAAAATAAAAAAATTATTGTTATATTGAGATGAGAGTATGTGAATATGCCCCGGGATACTAGGATTTTGAAGACAGACAATTTATGTTGCCATCATGAGGATGTCTCTTCAACCTGGGTCGAAAAACATTCAAAGTTCATCAGTTGGGTCTTGTTGAGTTGGTAAAATTTCAACCCACGGAACCCCGAACCATTTATTTTTATATAAATGTACTTCAATCTTTAAGCAATTATAAGCATATTTTATCTTTTACACATATATATTATCGTCTTTTAAAGTGCACATCCTTTTTACAATTACAATCATTCATTCATAGTCACATAATTTCAATGGCTAAAACTGTATTCTTTAATGTGTATATTTCGTCACTTTAAAATAATGCTTTAATTTATGTTTATAACAAAGTTGGTTTCAATTTAAACATGTTGTATATTATAATTTTAAATTTGTATTTTGACATTTATGAACAGGTCTGGTTGGATGATGTGGAAGGAAAATTTCTCTAAACACATTACCTTGGTGAGAGAGAAATATAAGAGGTAGAGAAGTAAT